TAAACTCAATGAACAAAATGTACGAAATCAACAAGATCAAAAAATATCTAGGACATATGTATATCTATACATATCTATATATAAACCGTATGTAATCATTTTGAATACCTTCTGTAAAGATAATTATTATACATATAAGTTGCACATATTACTGGCACATAAAAATGATTTCTAGTAGCAATTTATTGCTAATAATAATAATAATAATAATAATAATAATAATAATAATAATAAAAATAATAATAATAATATGGTTGGGGATATATCGGGTTAATATTTGACATAATATTATGTCGATAAATGCTACTAGCAGCTATAACTCTATAACAACGTAAAATAAGATATATATGTATTTATATGAAATTTACGCATTGTTTTATGTTCCTCGTTCGCTATTGCAGAAGTAAATTCTAAATGTTATAAATATAAAGCACCTTACAATTTAATTTATTTCTTTTTAATTCTCTTATCAATATTTTACAATTCATATTTTTTATAATTGTGCAATATACCAAGATTCTAAATACATAATTTATAATAGGTATAAAGCGATTTAATAGATAAACATAAAAAATACAGAATACACGGATCACGATGTAAAATGTTTGTGTTTCCCAAACCACATTCTTAATCAAGCAGATCAAACAAATTCGCGGTAGAGTGTAACGCCGTTCTCGTTTGCTCGTTTGACCAATAAATAATTTGGCAAACAAATTGATCCCCAAGGACTATAAACAGATACTTAAAGGCACACGATATCGCTGTCTAGTGAATTAAATGTCTTTAAACCAATATAAACATAAATCGCACTATTGGACAATAGGAAATCGTTCGATGGCCAGACCCCTACTGTGAGAACCGAAGTGGGCCCTGCGGCGTGAAATCTCTATTATTCCAAGGGTCGGAGAGTGGTTCGAGTACGTTCCAAACCGTTCGACGGACACGCGTGTGCGTGCCAAGGGGGATGCTTTGGCGTTGACAGGGGAGCTGGGTATTCGGCTGGTCCTCGCCCCTCGAAAATAATGTAATCGCGAATTAAATGTTTGCTCGGATATCGTCGATCTTCAAGCAGGCCTCTTGTTTAAGAAAAAAACGACTAGTAAGTGGATTTGACTTTGACAACTGCAATCTTTAGATAAATCTCTATTGTGTGATATACGATTAGATAATATATAAATTAAAATATGTTGATTGATCTTCAAGATATAATTTATATTTTTGTCCCATTTTCAATTTCAAATTTTTATTACTGTGATATCTCATTTAACCTGTTTTTCTTTGAAAATGTACTTCTCATTACTTTTTTAGTATTGTGAGTTATAACTATGAAAATTTAGATACTTTACAGTTAATACATTCAATATACAATGCTATGTATAAATTATTTCTTTATTATAAACATTTTATAAATGTATATTGTATATATTTCAATTTTTTATATTATACTTATTTACTATTTTGATGTTTCGTGGAGGAGATATAATTGCATTACTATGCATAAATATGTAAATATTTATAGATTTTTAAATAACTGTTTGTCTCAAATATTTATTAAATATAAATAGATTCAAAATGTTTGTGATAAGTATCAATATGTATTCAACAACTAATATAAAGAGATAAGGGCAATGAGCCAATAATTTCGTTAAAATCTTTTTAAATTAATCTAATATATTGCGAAGGATATCACGTAATTATGGCGTTTCGTCCCAGCTTCCACAGTACTGGACTCATCAGTAAGGCATTGTAGTGGAAGCCTACCTTATATGCCTGAGAGAGTTATTTAGTCGAGATTCTATATAAAGAGATATACGCGTATCAAAGCATTTGCGAGAATTTTGCGAATATCTATAGACCTTTGATGGCGAATCGACGTAGTAATATTCTTCGCAATATTTATTCAAAGTAATATATCTATTCAATTGAATGTGCTTGAAGCTCTGTGTGCTTAAACTTATATAAATTTACATAAATCTCTTTGATATAAGTTTTTGATGTAATTTGTTGAAAAACGAGTTAGAATCTGTTATTAAAAATCTTAAAAATAAAAAAGAGTTTTAATTTTTTACTTTTACTGTTATAAATTACATTTTAAAATTATTTGTAAGGTAATCTAAAATAATTTGGTAATATTTGTTATTTCAACTCTTTTGTCCCATTAATTTTAAATTTATTACACAACGTATATGGTAGATAGAAATATGTAAAACGAATGCAATGATTGAAAGATCAATCTTGTGTAGTGATAGGGCTTCGTATATGCATTATACTGTATTCCCGCAGTAAGTCTAATCCCAATTATATATCAGCAGATTGTCGTTCGGTAGGCCTGTCAATAACAATTCGGCGATGTCTCTAGCCAGAATCGACCGCGAACCGCCCTCTTGCTCTGAACTCGTTTCAGCAGGGACAAAACTTTGTCCTGGTACCGTGTAGTAGTGGTACAACCCCGGCAAACCACCATTGTGATCGTATTAACACCTCGCATAATTGCATCGCCGCACTTCTATCGCCGCGCGTGCACTAAACATAGCTCATTTGAATATTGGCCTATTCATAGTATTGAGAAGGCCAATAATCGTGCCCTTAAAAGAGACACTGCTACCGACCGACCTCGGCTCTCACTATTCTCTAAATATCATTCTAGACGATATTTTCTCAGGCTATTATAAACGAAACGAACTGAAATTTTTACAAGCACAAGTTATATGATGTATCCTATTTTTCACGCGCGCGTTTAAGGAGATTCTCGCGATACTTCCTAGTCAATAGACAGTTCAAATTCCTAAAATTATATAAAACAACATAATATAAAAACATTATCAACTAATTTAATATTTGTTTATTTAGAAACGAAAACATTTAATTATCAAAATAATCCCCGTCATTATCTATGACCTTTAGCCATCTTTCGGGTAGCTTGCGAATTTCAGAAGCGAAGAAGATTTCGTCTTTCGCGATGCGATAAAATTATCCATCCATTTTCACACTTCTTCAAATGCTTGAAAGTACACCGGACAAGGCGTTTTGCATTGACCGTAATAAATGATAGGTAGTCTGAAGGGGCTATGTCTGGGCTATACGCTGGGTGCGGTAGAATTTCCCAACCAAACGATAGCATAACGTTTCCTTTACAGGTTTACCAAACCTATGAGGCCTATAGTAAAGGACGATTTCGTTTGATTTCTTCATTTAAATAGATCAATTGTTGATTGTAGCGATCACTGGTTAACCGTTTCATTCGGATGGAGCAGCTCATAATATAGTACACCCTTCATGTCCCACCAGATGCATAGCATAACTTTGCTGCTGTGGATATTGGCGTTTTGGCGTGTAGTGGGTTGTCCTGGATCCACATGTTCTCTCTTTTTAGGATTATCGTAAAAAAATTCACTTCTCATCACCAGTTACGATTTTCCACAAGAAAGATTTTCTATGCTGTTTATTATACAGATTCAAACATTTCTCAGGACGACCATTTTTGTTTTTTTCACTTAATGCGTGCGGCATCCACTTTCCTTCCTTCAGAATCTTTCCCGTACTTTTGGGTACAATATTGACTCCAAGAACAGGACAAATTGATTTATACGCTTTAGCAGCGCTTTTTCCTTGATGAAATTCATATCGAATGCAGTGTCGAATAAATTATTTGTCACTTGCCATTTTAAAACCATTTAATTTTGAGGTTAAATTTCCAATTGTATGAAATCAATTGTTTTTTTTTATTAGTACACATTAAGTGCCACCACATATCAAAAGAGCGCGAAAATATTTGAATTCTAAGTTTAAATTATACGTTACACAAATGACACTTTAAAACTTATTTGTATACTCAATACAGTATTAACCAAGTATATTATTATAAAAATATCTTGAAAGCTATATAAAAACCTATGTATTTAAAAATTATTTGTGATATATTATTAATATAATTACCTAACGGTTATATATAATAGACATTTAATGCACTCAAAAGTATACACAATAATGTACTTAAAAATATATGCAGCTAAAGTTTAACGTATTTATTGGCTCCTTATGCAAATTTTAAGTTGTATGAAATGGGCAATGATTAAAATGACCAACGGAATTATAGCAAAACAAAAATTTGACATATCTGGATCACATTAATTGCATCCTTGTGTAAATACATTTACAATATCAATAACGTTAGAAATATATGTATAAATAGTAGATATGATTGGTACCTCTCTTTTCCTCTTTATATTTAGCTATACGTTCCGTTTAGTTAATATTCCATCACTTTTCCATATTTTATAATATTATTTTTTTTGGCATATACAAAGCTAAAATTAATTAATTTTATTAAAAATGTTAATATACTATACATTAAATAAATATAAAAGAAACGAGAGTGAAAGAACGCGCGAAGAGAGAAGAAAAGGAAAGTTTAGGCTAAAGAAGTAAAAAAGAAAATTATTTTTAATCAAAAGAACGTTGATAATATTTTATTCGTGCTTGGTGAAATTGAAAAACTATTCCTCCTTTCTTGGTCATGCTCCCTCCGTGTTCCCTACAAATAAATCCGCCCCCGCGTCTGCTGTTGAGATGACGACGGGCAATAGTGGGTGGGGACGAATAAAATTTCTACGGGGGTACGTCGTCCTAGCCGATAAAATCCTCGTTGGAGCGTCTGCCCGCCAATCCCGTGCGCGTCTGATAGTTACGTTCAACACGCGTCTCGGCTCGCCATTGGCCACAAACCCGCCCAGGGGTTGGTATCGATCATCCCTCATGCAAGCCCGACGCTTTTCATATATAAAGCAGCCTCCCCAGGGACATCGTCAATAGTTCAAATCCGCGTATTCTCCGTACGGACACTTTTGTTTGAACAATCAATTAACTATAGGTGGATCAATAGAGAGATCACAAAATTAACACAAAATTTATCGCAAATCAGCGTGTTATGAAAGGATTCCGAATCTTCTAAACAAAGAAATTAAAAGAGAGGTATAGGAAAGAAGTTGAGTCACGTTTAATGGTTGTTAGTTAATACAATACGTGAAATATAATTTGCGGGAATACCAACAACGAATGAGATTGTGAAAGCGTGCATTATGGCGAATCATCATTCCTCGTACGACTTTGAGGACAGAAGTCAAAGGATTCGCCATCGAGTCAGCACTGCGTCAAAACCTGCAGATTCCACTGTGGCTTGTACCAGGTACTATTTTTCTCATTTTCTCTTTCAGTTGGTTAATCACGTTAAGAAATTCAAATTTTCATTCAACACATATAAATAACAAATAAAAAAAATATAAAACATATACGTATAAGTAACTTTTGTATAATTTTAAATATAAAAAAGTGTAATGTTCTACTTATTCTTTATTGAAAAAATTTTTGATTAAAAATGGACGAATCAGAGTTACTTTCTCGTTAAGTTTAAAATTCTAGTTGAGATAACCGGAATTCTGATTGATACAATACTTCTAGAAAAATCTACTAGAATTCTTATATTTTTATCTGAATAATTATATACATATATCAATCAGAATTCTAGTTATCTCAACTAGAATTCTATAAGTAGATTTAATCAGAAAATTCTGATTCATATATATATTCGTTTTCCAGAATTATTACTTCTATAATCCAACCAGATCGTTTATCTCAGATATTTTAACGTTTAATTGGGATTTGTAACATTATATGTATCAATATAGACAGAAATATACAAATATACCTATATAAATAACAGTTAGATATTTGTATGTTGGACTTATGTTGCAGTTGAATTTTACAACTCTCTCATATAGAGAAGAAATTAAAGTCATTTAAATTATTTCTATTAAATTTAATAATAAAGTGTAAAGTGGAATCATTTTAAGATATTTCTTTCTATAAAAAAATGTGTTAAATTATTTTTTACATCTTATATTCAGTGATTTCTTTTGTTTATGTGTAATTGATTTACTATTTATACATATATAATGACCTTATATGTTGTATTTTATGTATTCATATTTAGCTATCTAAATATCTTAATGTTAGCACAGAAAAAAAATTAGTAAAGGATGAAAATTCTTCATTGTTCATTATTTGTTACATAACAAATAAAGTTTCTTAATCTGTAAATTTAAAACTGTAATAAAGCAAATAAATTATTTAAATAAGTCTACTTATTACTAAAGTAAAGGACCCCGCACACTTCTTATGGGAAATGGAGATCCGTGGATTTGGCTATAACTTTGCCAATTTGTTATTTAAGTTATACTGATGAAAAGTTATCATGGCCACAACTTAATCCTATGAGCCATTTTCAATGTATAGTCGCTCAAATGTCTGTAATAGTACGATTTTCTATATACGTCCTAGGTAGCAAGATGATGTCAAATGACGTCTTAATAACATCTTTAGCATTAATAACATGTCATTAAGATGTCACTTTACGTCACCCTGTTACCTGGGATGTCATTTTTCATATTCTTAGCGTTTTTCAGGATTAACGTAGACTTGTTCAAATAGGATCAACGCGTTATTTCCTCCGCTATGATTGCGTGTTGCTCGCGTCTTGTTAAAACTATACAATCGTCGAATTATTCTATTAATCTCGTATATTAGTTAGTTCGTATATTTTCATTGTCATGTGCTTATAATATCTGTATAATCCGCGCGTCGTTCGCCAGTCTAACAATGTCTTGTTATGGTGCGATCCGCCGTCACAGCGCACATTCCTCGTCCCCGATTTATCGCAGATAATCAAGGACGTTGGTATATCTGAGCGATTGACTTTTTAATTAATTTATTACATATATGCGTTTTTCTTTCTTTAATTGTTGTTTTAAATTATTTCTTTTGACTCTTACAACGTCCTTTTAACTTTTTTCGTTTATGTTTATAATAAGAGTCCTTTATCAATCTTATACGATTGACTTTTCTTCGAAATCTTCTGTACAAAAGCATTCCGTTACACGCACTCGACAACATCGTTTGAGTTGCCATTCCGTTCTCTTAAGAATGTGTTCTATTAACTCTTATTATACAGATATTATACAGATATTATACAGAGATTATACAGATATTATAAGCACATGACAATGAAAATATACGAACTGACTAATATACGAGATTAATAGATAATTCGGCGATTGTAGTTTTAACAAGACGCGAGCAACACGCAATCGTAGCGGAGGAAATAACGCGTTGATCCTATTTGAACAAGTCTACGTTAATCCTGAAAAACGCTAAGAATATGAAAAATGACATCCCAGGTAACAGGGTGACGTAAAGTGACATCTTAATGACATGTTATTAATGCTAAAGATGTTATTAAGACGTCATTTGACATCATCTTGCTACCTAGGATGTATATAGAAAATCGTACTATTACAGACATTTGAGCGACTATACATTGAAAATGACTTATAGGATTAAGTTGTGGCCATGATAACTTTTCATCAGTATGACTTAAATAACAAATTGGCAAAGTTATAGCCAAATCCACGGAACTCCATTTCTCATAAGGAGTGTGCGGGGTCCTTTATATAATTAATTTTTTCTTAAAAATTAAATAATGAATAACGAATTTAAATAACAAAACATATATTGCACAGTATATATCAAACAAAAGTAATTATTTTTAATAATAAATGATGAAAAATAAATAATATTTGATTTTATTTATAAAGATACATTATATAATATAAATATTATGTAATGTGAATGTACACACACACACTCACACACACACAGGTCTACAACTTAATTCCCGATACTTTTTATAAAGTTTCGATGTAATCCCCTTCATTTTCCGCATTCACTTTCGCCATCTTTTAGTCAGATTTTGCTTCGGAAAAAGATGGTTCTTTTGAGTCGACAAATTCTATGATAAAAAAAATTAAAATAGCCATCAAGAAGTCTTTGGAACCACTTTTTACATGTACTGTATGTACGATACAGAGTTTTCGCCTAAAGCCGAGTAAATCATTTCTTGAGCTTCCGCTACATTTTTCTTCAGTTGAAACGCAAAAAGGATGCAGTCAGGGGCATTGACTTGTGAGAAACTTTGGGGGGCACCAAGCACATATTTCCGACAATTTTTTTTTTTAATAATTGACATACTTTCACGCTCTACATGAATACGTAAAACATTTTTCTCTTTTTTTTCCTACTGTAATGCAAACATTGCACGGCGACTTACATTTCGACTTATAAATTCATTTCATTTATATCTAATTTCATTACTTCTTCTTTGTGTATATGTAAAATGTTCACAGAATTTAATCTGCATTGCGTTATGGTACTCCGCAAATAAGTCACTAATCTCCTTAAAGAAGAAAATGAATGCTCGGCTGTGCACCTCGCGTTACTGGAAACGTTATTATTAATTTTATAAGCTTCACTAACTCCGACAGCAAGTCCACTACATGTCATTCCTCCTGCAGCAAACTGTTATGTCACAAAAAACTGCTGGACCGATGATATACTAGGTCTGTTCTTTCTTCCTGCACTGTCTGAACTGGTGCACACAGTGCAATAAGTTGAAGCAAAACGAACGTGTATTTGTTTTACTTTAATTTATTGGCTTAGGGTACATTCCAAAACGTCTTCTCCGAGGAAAATTTTACTGTATAAATATATACCTAGTACACGTAACTTATACTATAGTATAAAATAAAATAATCTTCCTCGAAGAGAACGTTTTGGAATGTAGCCTTAGTTTACATTTACACCGAGCATTTAATACGCGGATCAAGTATCACATCAGTAGTATTAAATCACTTGATGCGCTCGGTATAAACGCTAGATTACTTTAGTGCGCTCTGGTCTGATACTCCCGAATCGCGAGTATCAGACCAAGTTGATACGCGTATCAAACAATTCTATTACTTTTGGAGCGTTTTATTTTTGTTGTTTATTAGATGTAAAATAAAGATAGAATGATACAAATAGCGCTAATAGCGTCCTACCAAACGTACCTTCTGTAAACGCTTGATTTATTTTGGACTATTGAATTCCGCTATTTGTTGTTACAAGTTATAAGATTATTAAAAATAGTTATAATCAAAAATTTATTACAATAGTATAAGGCTAGGCCGCGAAAATATGTCAGGCGCTCCACCGGTGCCGGAACCTGAATCGAGGCCTGTTCGTATTAGCAAGCAACAGTCCCGTTGCGAAGCCATACTGTCCGACGGAAGGAACCTTATTTATATCTTACAATAGTAAAAATGTCATGCAAAAAGAATATAAATTGGACATTTGCGTTGCACGTTCTTCCATTATTTTCACAATAATTGCTATCAATAAGAGGATGATTATTGTCTAGCTTATTTTTTTTTTCCTTTGAGTATATTTCTAATACTAAATAAAAACTGAGAATCTAAACCAGCGACCATAAATCGACAGCTACTCACAATTTGTCGTCACTTTTAATTCAAATTGCTGAGTTGAGATTTTATCTGGATTAAAAACCCTAATTTGTTTTCAGATGAAACAATGTAAACAAGGACATATCAAATGTTTTATTCCCCATTGACTTGATACGCGTACCAAACAATTTAGACTGCGTTCGAAAATATTACCCGAGTGCCTCCGAGTATCATTTTAACTCTGTTGTTCATCGAATATTAAACAAAGACAAACTGATGGTTATAATCGGAGGTAGTCGGGTAGTGTTTTCGAACGCAGCCTAATGGTGTAAAGGGGATCATTGTTGTACTATGTGCCGTGTGCACCAAGATAGTGTATCAGATAATGCAGGAATGAAGAACAGATCTATTATGTAAATCCATAGTGTTTTTATATCGGATGCTCATTGGTCCAGTGGCTTTATGCTACGGTTATGCAGTTTTTATGTCATTTGTGTATATCCTAACTGTTTGTTAATTGCAAATGTTTCAATTTTAACATTATTTTCTATCATTTTTTTCTATTATCTAAAAAAAAAACTAGACGTGTGATAAAGCAAAACAATTTACAAACTCAGATTAAACGAAAAAATTTATTTAAAAAATAGCTACTTTAGTTTGTGTTTCCTTCTAAAATTTTTTTGTAGTCCTGTGTTATTATTAGCTACATAAATTAATCTAAAATTAATATCAAATATATGTATACTCTATGTATATAATATCTATATATACACAACAAATTTATTTAATTTTAATAAATATTTCTTTGAATAATTCTAGCAGAATATTTACTTTCGGTGAAATAATATTTAAATAAATGAAAAAAGTGATAGTTGAATCAAACTAATGGTTCCTGTATCATATCTATTAGGTCAATCGGAAAATTTCGTCCGTTTTTTTTGTAAAAAATATGATTTTATTTAAGAAATAAAATGAAAAAGTACATCAATCAAAATATTGGCCATCGTTAGCAATGACTTTTCCCTTTCGGGCAGTAAGCGAGAATTCCGCGGCGAAAGAATGATTCATCCTTGGAGGCTATCCAGTCAGAGACCCATTTTTTGACGTCTTCATAAGAATTGAAGCGTTTCTCAGCAAGTGCGTGACATTGACCGAAACAAGTAGTAGTTGGAAGGAGCACAGTCTGGTGAATAAACCACATGGGGTAGCACTTCCCAGCGAAGTGCTTCCAATTCCTTAATAGTTTTACCTCTAGTCACCTTTAGTGACGTGAGGTCGAGCGTTGTCATGAAGCACATCACTTTATGTTACTTTTGTCTCATATTCTAATCGTTTAATTTTTGCGCAATGCTCTGCTCAAACGGATTATTTGTGACTGTTTGACCAAATTTCAACAGCTCATGGTACACTACACCCTTCTAGTCCCACCAAATACAGAGCATGGTCTTCTTCCTATGAATATTTTGGCGTCGATGTCGATAGTTGGCCTAAATGGTTTTTCGGCGTTTTGGATTATCGAAATAGATCCACTTTCCATCGCCAATCACAATTCGATGCAAAAACTCCTTTCTTTGTTGCCTAGCAAAATTTCGCAGGTGGTTTTTCACCTTTCAATGTCTCTTGGCTTCAGTTCATATGGGATCCATTTTCCTTCCTTGTAGATCTTTCCTAAGGCTTTTAAACGATCGGAAATAACAATATAATAAATTGAGCACAATTTAATGCTTCTGTAAGTTGTTTTTGCGTTTGACATGGGTCTTCATTCACCAATGCCTGCAATTCTTTGTCTACAAATACTCTTGGCCGTCCAGAACGCTCTTTGTTTTCCACATCAAAATTACCACTTTGAAAGTATTGAAACCATTTTTTGCATGTTTTATCGGAAGGAACACTATCACCATAAACTTCTACAAGGATTTGAGCTTCAGCTGCAGTTTTGTCCTATTTGAAGCAAAAGATTAACACTTCGTGCAAATGACGTTTATTTGACTCAAATTTCGACATTTTTGATGCAATAAAAAACAATGTTATTGATACAAACGTATACTTTCATATTCTGAATTTTATTGACAAATGGTAAAACTAAAGAATTAAGTTTGATTTAGACATTAGAGTTGTCGACAGTTCCAGCTATAGATACTCGCCGCTAAACAGACGGAACTTTCCGGTTAATCTAATAATAAATATGTATTTATTAGGTGTACAAATATAAGTTTTGAAGCGTTTTTAATGAAATTTAATATTTATTTATTTAGAAACAAAAACATACTTAATTACCAAAATAATCCCCGACATTATCTATGATCTTTAGCCATCTTTCGAGTAGCTTGCGAATTTCAGAAGCGAAGGTTTCGCGTTTCAATGCGATAAAATTATCCACTCATTTTCGCACTTCTTCAAATGCTCGAAAGTGTACACCGGACAAGGCGTTAATTTTGCATTGACCGGAATAAATGATAGTCTGAAGGGGCTATGTCTGGGCTATACGTCTGGTGCGGTAGAATTTCCCAACCAAACGGTAGCAACGTTTTCTTTACATTTACAGGTTTACCAAATCTATATGAAGCCTAGCGTTGTCACGAAGCAATTTCACGGAACGTTTTCCTTTGCCAGTAAATGGACGATTTCGTTCGATTTCTTGATTTAAACGGATCAAATATTGACTGCAGCGATCACTGTTAATCGTTTCATTCGGATGGAGCAGCTCGTAATATAGCACACCTTTTCATGTTCCACCAGATCATAGCATAACTTTGCTGCTGTGGATATTACGTTTTGACGTGTAGTGGATTGTTCTGTGGATCCACATAATATTTTTTTCTTTTTAAGATGATCGTAAAAAATTCACTTTTTGTCACCAGTTATGATTTTCCACAAGAAAGATTTTCTATGCTGTACAGTTTCAAACACTTCTCAAGACGATCATTTTTGTTTTCTTCACTTAATGCATGCGGCACTCACTTTCTTTCCTTCAGAATCTTTTCCATATGCCGTAAACGAATTGAAATATCTTGGTGAGTTACTCCAAGTTGCTATGCAAGTTCTTTTTGTGTTTGACATGAGTTTTGATCGAGTAATGCTTGCAATTAATTGTCTGTAACCTGCTGAGGAGCACCACAACGTTCTCTATGGCTAACATTAAAATCATCTTTAAATCGCCTAAACCAAAACTCACGTACTTATGGATACAATATTGTCTCCAAAAATAGGACAAATTGATTCATATATTTTAGCAGCGCTTTTTCCTTGATGAAATTCATATCGAATGCAGTGTCGAATAAATTGCTTGTCGCTCGCCATTTTAAAACCATTTATTCTTGAAGTTAAGTTTTTAATTGTGTGAAGTCAATTGTTTTTCTTAATAGTACACATTAAGCGCCACCATATATCAAAAGAGCGTGAAAGTATTTGAATTCTAAATTTAAATTATACGTTACACAAAAGAGGATTTAAAACTTATTTGTACACCCAATACAGTTAGCAAATATTCCTAAGATTATTTAAAGAAATATTTATTTGAATTTAATAAATATTTTCTCAATGTACACATATGTGTGTGTGTGTGTGTGTGTGTGTATACACATATATGTATACATATATATATATACATCATACATACTATATATATGTGCATATACTAGAGAATGTAAATAAAAGAAAACATCATTTTTGGTTATCACTTAAAGTTCCGCAAATGCAAAATTTCTAACTGTGCAAAAACAAATATTAAATAATATAATTAATACCTGAATAACACAAGCAAATTTTGAATTATTATAATTTTACAGTACTCAATATTACGTGGGATACAATAGCGATATCACTGAAGAAGATTTAGCAGAATTACCTTCATGTGTTTATGCAGGCAGATCCACGCAACATATCTCGCACACATCGCCACATACACATTCTCCTTTGCACTATCATGTGCCAGTTTCAACGCCAGGTAATAAACTACTAAACCAAATAATAAATAATATAATGAAGTAATAATGAAGTTATTTAATTAATACTTGTTCATATAAATTTTTCGTTCAGATGACACAGAGATGAACGGCGTAGAAGAAGGTTATTATCCAAATGGCAGTCCTTATAGAATTCAAAGACACGCGGCTAATATTCGTGAAAGAAAACGTATGCTGAGGTAAGGAATTTTCGAAAGTAATTGGCAATAAAATGTAATTTAGTCTATATACAGAGTATATAGTAGCCTATATAATCTTTAAATTGGTCGCCATGATTTTAGAGATACTTTCGATAAATTGACAACAAAATCTTCTTAACAAAAATTTGCTTTAATGAATAATTAGGTAATCAAAATTTAAAAAGTGTTTTTATTCTTAATAAAAAATTAAAGCTGAATTGTTTTTTTAAATAACATTTTTTTTCATATTTTTATAGGGTATGAAAAGACGAATTCATTACATATTATGTACATATTGTATTAATTATTCGATCCCAAAATGACTCAATTATAGTACTTACAATATAATCTGTCGCCTATACCTAAAATGGTGAAATAAACGTAAATACACACAATTAATAGCAAATTTGATTAGACGCACTAGTGCACATTAATGTATTTAAAACCGTTGTACACTAATTTAATCCATGTTTTGGAAAAGTGAAATGCAAATATTTTAAATTATAAAATTTATATTCCATTTATAAAAACAAAATGTGTTGAGAGTTTTATAATTTCATCGATTTCTGTATATTAAAAACATATATCTTTATTATAATTAATAATTCTTTATATTAACAACGTATCTTTACATCAATTTGCGTTTAATCGAATTTGTTATAAAAGAAATAAACTTATTTTCATTATTAAAAGGATTTTAGTGATTAAATATTTCAGATTGAGTTTTTATACATATATCCAATTCTGCAAACTGCGCATCGAAGTCTCTTTCGGTTTTGAAATGCAATTATGTGAATAGAACCGGAATACTAATATCATATATATTAAATTTGCAAAAAAATTAATATTTTTTATACTAATAAATATCTTAGTAAAATGATATTAATAATTTGATGCTAATCTTAAGAACTGTAAATAATTTAATTTAATGCAAAAGATTTATATTACCTCAGTCAAATCTTCTGTATTCTGTGCGGACATTACTATTTGACAACCGAGGCTTCGGCAATAATCACTAATTAGTAAAAGAAACGTTACTGTTTTTCAAAGAGACATGTACAAATAATTATAATTATATTAGACCGGCGAGAATAAATCAATTAGGAAAACTAAACTTATTTTCAATCAGAGCAAATCTTACAAGAAGAGTCTGAATTGATACCGCGGATCTGAATTGGAAAATATTTTTATAATACTCTGCCAGGAGATTGGGTCCCAAATCCATGGCCTTTATCAGCGCTCAAATATTTCGGAGCATACCTATACATGTCGGGTTCGAAAGTCCTCAAAATCAAATAAAATTATTTATATAAAATTATTAATAGATAGTACATTAAATTATTAATATCCTTCTAAGATGCTTATTAGCATTAAAAATTATTAAACTACAACTTTATATGAGATATATATTAATACTCTAATTCTGTTCATAACTGCGTTTCAAGATCGAAAAAGATTTTGGTGCAACCGAGCAACCTTCTCGCGGTATACATCGGATAACGTAAATGTCGATGATGTATCAGCTTTTACATAACCAGGAATGGTTTTTGTCAAATAAAATAAAAACAAAAAAACGGGTTATTTGGTGATATTTCGTCATTTGAAGAAGTGGTTAGATTTTAATTCGATCAGACACAATTGAGAAAATTAAAAAATGTCAAATTTTTCGTTTACTCTTACCACTTTTTTTAAAAATTTCTATCAATTCTCAAGTTAATCTCTACTTTTTATACATTACTTATAGATTTTGAGTAGCACACGACTCAATCAACTCGCAGAATTCGATTATCTGACACCGTTCGCAATTTACATGGATTTGAAGTTTATGATTCCTAAAAGTTCTTAACGTCTGATTCCTATTTCCGTCAACCGCGAAATCTGTCGATCTGAGGAAACTTTGCCATTAGGAAGAGTTGTTCTGCTGTACCACAATCTGACACGACTAAAGAAAATTAAAAAATGTTAAATTTGTAAAGGTTGAAAGCATGGTTTTGTTACGGATTCCACTTGTAGGATATTAAATTGTACATCCATTGTTACCTCAGGCATATGGAGTAAAAAAAACTACATTAAAAAAATGCGTTATTCGCTACGTGTCATAGTTTCATCGATCGGTCATAGTCTCATTCACAATTTAGCTGCCTTTTTACATAAAATCATTCACAGAAGTTTACCGCAAGCTGATGGTGCTATCGATAATAGTTATCAATTGACTGAATACATTTCTAAATTAACAATTTCTGATAATGCTTTTTGGACATATAATCTCATTGTTTAATTGAAACAATATTCCAATCAACTTGGTGTTTAATAGCACCTCAAAAAGGTGAGATTTGACTTTTAAAATTTCTTAACATTAATTTTATAAATGTATGAAAGTGTAAGAAATTATTTAAATTTAAAATAATTACACCGAAGACTAAAACTTCTGCATATGTTTAATAAAAACCTAAAATGTATAAAAACGCAATGTAGACTTCATTTCAAAATGTATTTAATTATATGTATTAAAAATATGATGTAAAAAAAAAAAATAATTAAAAAATTTTTTTTAACTAACAGTACAATAAAACTAAAGCCACGTTTGTAAATTATCACTCACTAAAGTAATCAATTGTTGCTTATATTTACCCATATATATAATATTGTCGTTTTACATTAATAATAAAATAATTCATAATGTCATGTTTTATTACAGGATACATAGATATGTAAAATATACATATTTAGGTTATATAAATATATGTATAAAATATTTACGTTATATTTTCGGTAGAAGATACGCGCGGGCGGATTGTCAGTGTGATTGCAATTTTTAGCAGCATCAACTCGGCTTTCGACGAGCTTCGGGTCCATGTACCAACCTTTCCTTACGAAAAGCGACTGTCGAAGATTGATACTTTACGCCTGGCCATAGCATATATTGCTCTCTTACGCGAGGTTCTGGCAGCCAGGCTTGACCCTTTGACGTACGTTGAGAGGTGTCTTAGGGGTGAAATAAATGGCGAACGCGCTGAATGGAACACGAGCGGTAACATTTATTTTTATAATTATTTAAATATTTCAAATGTAAATTAACACATTAAAAATTATAAGCATAAAAGTTTGAAAAAATTATAAGCGTAAACAACTTCTAGATATCGAGTATCATTTTTCATTAATTGCCAAAAGCCATGTTGTTTATAAAATTGGTTGCTTCACAAATTTAAAAAAAAATGTTTGTTACAAATTTTTATAAAGATATAATTGAAAACTTATTTGCTAATTAAATGTTTTTCATTTAAAAAATATCAATTTTTTAGTTAATGCACAATCTGCTGTATTTATTTCTAAAACATTACATATTTAAATGTGACAAAATTAAAAATTCAATAATATAATTAACCAGTAATAATATAACATTTTTTAACTTAAAGTTTTACAAAGTCTTTTTTTACATTTTCAATTGAACTTTTCAAATATTATGTCCAGATTCTTTTATGTCACTTGTGATGTTTCAAAATAGAAGGTCTTATTAGTTATTCCGCATTTATTAATCTATCATCTAGAATTACCCACAGATTTTCAATGAAATTTAAATATAGAGACCGCAAAGAGATAAATATAGAGATCATTCATCTATCAAATATCGTTTATTTTTTTTAAATTGGCAATATACAGCTTTCTCGAATTTTTAATAGAACACAAATTACTACATATTTATAAAATTAATCTTATAAATAGTTCACTTAAGTTATAAATTAGATAATATTACACACACTATTTAAAATACTGAATATCACGATCATTATTGCAGATCTGACGGCACGCTTATCCTGGATAAATTGGGAAAATTTGGGGGTGAATCCAAATCGTCGATCAGTTCTTACTACTCTGGCGCTGACAACCGACAATATGAATTAAATACTGATAATAAGCATTTTGGCAGTAATTTTTTTTTCTTTGTAAATATCTTTATGTACGGATAGGAAAAAAGTGAGAAAGAAAGAAAATGCTAAAGACTCTTTTACGATTACATTTTAGTTAACGTGCAATACGAGCGACAAACATATTCAATATCTATGTGTACATGTAAAAGATATAGTTAGTACAATTTAGTATTTGCTTTTAAATAAAATCGATGCTGTTCGAGACCCTTGGCTACATGTATTCTTAATAATGCCAATCAGAACTTATATTCCATTTAAAAAGGTTCTAGTTTGCATTTGATGAAATTTAAGACAAGTCCATAACGTATATGTAATACGAAGGTTGGTTATATCAATATCTAGAAAAATTTCATTGATTATTATCGTACCGTTTCGAAGATATCTAATTTTAAACGTATATAACTTTACATCATATTATATCATATATTTGCAAAATTTTATTCCATAAATATTTTTTCTTAATTTGAGACATTTGTATATGAAACAAAAATTTTAAAAACGTTATAATGACAAAATAAACTTAAGTTTATTCTGATAATATTTCTTTTAAATTGACCGTATAACTTGACAAAAATTTATATCTATTTTTCGATAAAGAAAAATAAGAAAAAACTTATCAAATAAACAATGCATAATGTAACAAAACATATGTACCATATATGGTACGCGTAATCTTACAGAAATATTAATTTTAAATTTAATTAATAGCAACTTTTAAATTTATATCATATATTTACGATATTACATCATTTCCTTTATTTGCATATTTTGCCGTGTGCACTATTTTGAGAGCATAATATATATACATATATAATATATATATATATATATTATAATAACAATTTCAAACTATCAAAATAATATACAATTTCAAAAATAATGACTAACAATAAGTCTATTATCGAATAAGTGTCTTATGATTTATTTTTTTTTAATTCAAAGTATTTAATAACATACAAAATTAACAATAATTATCTATAACATTAACAAATTAGATATTGTTGATAAGTTCCTATGTTACTGTTTTAAACATTCCTTACATATTTTAAGAATTTGAGCTGTTTATTAGCTAGGAAGTTGCGCAAGAATCTACTAAATAATCAACAAAGTTTATAGTGCTTTTATTTATTTTACACTATTGTTGTAACTTTGATATTATTACAAAATGTTATTTATGTTATTAAAATTTGTTATAACAAAAATATAGTTTGATAGCAATATTTTTCATTTCTTGTGTTATAAAGAAGCATACTATACATGTTAAATTTATGTGTCATCTAAATATACGTACGTACGATAAACACAGAATATTTGTATTGAAATCTTTATCAGTTTAAGATTATTTTATTGATACTATATCTATATTTATGTAAAAACTTTCTTATCATTATTAACCCCATTTTAAGCCCTATAATTTACAGCATTTCAAACAGAAATTTATTTATAATTTTATATATTATACAATATATTTTGATATAATTTTGTCTCATATACGTATATCATGTGATGCGATAGCATCACAATGCCAAATGTATAAAAATATAAAATAGGCCTTTTGACACATTGATAACAGTAGCAAAAACATCTGCGTATATGTTTATTCCACTGTACTGCTAAATGTAGCACTAACCATACATTATCTAAAGTCACTCTGGTAAGAACCAAGACATAAGTCAGAATGGACACCCTGTTTCAGTTTTATTGCCAATGATTCGCCCGCACAGTTTTTAAACTAGAAATAAAAATTATAATTATAATTATTAATTAAAAATAGTTTTAAAAATATTTTTACACTAAGAATAAAAATGTGATATGAATGTAACATTATTTTTTATTATTTTAATATAATCTAACATAATATTGCCCAATATAGTTCACATATCTTGTTTAAAAAAATTAAAAATAAAATTAAAAAAAAATATGTGAGTATAATAAATTATGTCAGTATGTAATAATAATAACCATAGTAGATGTTTCAAGTAACGTAAACAGAAACATTATTAATTTCAGATTTATAGCATTTTTTATTGAAAACAAAACAGATGCATCGTCTAGATTCGTGAGATAAACAAAATCAAAATGAAATACAATGCACGGTCAAAATCGGCATCACTTTCAAAAAATATATGATTGAAACAAGAAGAAGGAAGCCTAATAACGGTCAAAGCTAGATCACAATGCTTATAATTATATGTGAATTTTATGTACCGCGTATGTAGTTTCTTTAATCGCGTGCCGAAATTTTTTCAGACTTACAACGCAACTCTAATGAACTACCGTAGTATCACTTAGTAGTAGTCTGAAAAATTTCGGTACGCGATTAGGGAACTACATACGCGGTATATAAAATTCACATATAATTATAATAAGCATTGTGATCTAGCTTTGACCGTTATTAGGCGTCCTTCTTCTTGTTTATTATTTATCAATAGTACGGTCCTAAAAAGATTTTAATATATGTGATTGAAACTCCCGAACCGAAACGCATCCGCCGCGGTCGAGTGATTCTGCAGAACTTACTAGTAAGTACTAAAGATCGAGATGTATTTTCATGACCTAGTTTACACTCAGCCGTCCAATCCCGATTCACTTCAAAGTGAAGTGAAATTTCTTGGGTGTAAACGGATTAGTTTCGACTGATTTCAATCCTCTTTTCTCAGCGGAGTAAAGCGAATCCGGTGTAAACATTCTGTAAATCCACTTCACTTAGAAGTGAATCGGAATTGGAAGGCTGGGTGTAAACTAGGTCCATGTCTGATGGAACGTGAGTGACAATAATAGAACAGCGATCAGAGATTTCGTACAATCAATATCAGAAACTATACCGCGTGAGATGACTCACAAAGTAAGTAGAAATATTCTTTTGTGGAATAAAATAGTAACTTGAAGAAATTCACTTCTCTTTTTTTATTACTTTGCGTACCAACAACAACTCTGTATACTCTTATTCGTCCTCAATCACTGGAATTCATAATTTGATTTTAAATAATTATATAATTTTTTTAGCAGTATGTATATATAGAGTGATTTGATTTTGATATTTAAGAGGTTTTAGTTGTCAGTCGGACACTTTGGATAATACTAATAATTACACGGTACTGTCACTCTCAAATCTCATAACTTGAAAAGTACAATGAAAATAAATTTTATTGTAATGGTTTAAAAATCTGTTGAGAGAGACATCTGAGAGAGAGAGAGAGATATGATCTGTAAATAAATCTTTAAAAATCCTACAACTTTTGTCTGAATAATTTTTCCCCAAAATACTTTGTTTTTGAGATATTTTACCAATTCGAGATTTTCTATTCATCCTGTATATCAAAACCAATGTTATAATCAATACTCTCAATAGTGAAGCTATAACAAAAGAGAAATAATGTAAAGGTAAGTGCATACATATATAAAATACATGCATATTGTCTTTATATCCACAATTCGCGGAATAGCAAACCCATTTGACATCAGTTTTAGACACTATGATTAGCAGTGCCGATAATATACGGTACACAATTCATATCATTTTGTAAAAACGATGTGCCACTAATTTAATAGGCATCCACAGGGGGATTTAAGAAGAGGCACTGAGGCATTTGCCCCTCCGCCCCTGGGCGATAGGCGCGCGCGCCGAATAAAAGCATATGTGGTGAGATCTTAACGTGTCTTCTCATATTGAAATTTGATGCTCATTTTTAGCATTAAAATAGATCACGTAATTAAAATTAATGATTTATAGTCGTCGATACTATTTTTTCGATTTTAAACGGAGCACAAGTTACATAAATACTCAATTTCGCGGAGATAGTAGATATTTCGGACATGTAAGATTATTGTTTGCTTTTTTTTCTCAACTGTCTGTCTGGTCTCAGATTACTTGCGAAACATCAATACTGATCCGAAAACAGATTTCGCTTTAAATGGCTACTGTTTTTACGGAAACTTGAATTAGCTATGTGCATTCCATCATATATAATTATGATATAATCATACTGTACACCCACTTGAAAATTACATGAAATATGTAAAGTTTATGAAAAATATGCATTTATGCAAAATATAAATTTTATGAAAAATATTCAGTTAAATCTTTTTGTATAAATATCCGCAGTCTAATAATTATATACGTATAATAATATTATTATTAATATTACTATTATTATTATATTTTGAATCATGCCCTCTCTTGGAAAAAATCTTGTGAACGCCCATGGTTAGTTTAGGAGGGCTTTTGTGCATCATACAGAAAAGATGCATTCCAAAACTTAACTATGTCAGCGAGTATTTTTTATCCTTATTCAATGTTCAGTAAATAATAAGAATAAAATGATACTTGAGTTAATAAAGTTAATAAAGTGAATTTTGGAACGCAATCCAGGATGGCTGCTTTCAAATTTGTCTCTGGTATATGACTTTAAATTATCGTAATATTGAAGACAAAAAAATTTTCAAAATTAATAAAAATATTATTTTACAAAATACATATTTAAATATAATCTATTAATTTATTGTATTTATGATTTAATTTTTTAAGTTAAGTTTTATTTTAATATTTGCAATTATATATTTTGTACATATATTTCATAATATCTTTGTCTATATCTCTATATTAGACAAGATAAAATAAACTTAAAAGAATCAATTTATTATAAACAATTAATCTTTCCACAAAATTATCTTATTGATAAAATTTATCTAATAAGTAAACAAAATTCCGAACTTAATGATAATATCGTATACGTTAAACAAAATATTAGTTTATATTTAATTTCTTATTAAATATAACAGAATTATTGCAAGTTTTTAACCATTGAATGTTTTGCTTATTATCAAGAGTATCGATGTAATTTGATAAATCATCCTGATGAACTCCGTTGGCGGCACAATATAAAATCGCAGTGTTTTCTAGAAGTTCTTGCAACAATCCTATCTTTGAAATCTCTGTTTCATCTCTAGAACATTCAGATTTCTTTTCTTTCGGTTTTACATCAATAATTTCATATTTGTTTAGATCCTTAGGCTTCTTTTTCATATAATTTAGCATGCTTGAAGAAATTTGTTCATTTTTCGAAGAAGTTGCTTTGTGGTTATCTAATAATGTTGAAGAGCTCTTCCAAGCATTTTGATTGCTACTGACAATCTGACTGTCTTTGGTATTCTCTAGCATCAGATGAAGCGTTTTCCATTTTCCCTGTGAAAAATCAAAACTCGTATTTGAATAGGGACTGTTGGATACAAACTGTTGATTCTTTTCAACTGTTGTATTCTTCTGCCTGAGATTTTTCGGCATATTTTTTACATTCAGATTTGTTAAATTCATTTTTATATCTCTTGAAATTTGATTCTGTATCATGGGCTTCTTTAATGTGCTTTTGTTGTATTCTGATAAGATTTTAGCTATTTCCGAAGTTTCGTTGGTGCACCACATGAAGTTCTTATTATTTGATATTCCATCATCTGATTCTCTATTAATTTTTATTTTTTCAGGATTGTTTCCTTCATGTATCTCTTTCATGACTTGAACAGTTTTTTTATCCAATGGGGTTTCGAGAAAGGTCTTCTTTGTCATATATTCTTGCGTATTCGTAGCATATTTCTTCAAAGCGTGCAAGTTATTCATTGGCGATTCTTTGCATTTTGGAACTGATTCTTTCGCAAACATCAGCTTTCTATAAATTGACGACATTTCCGTCAACGTTTCATTGCTAGAAGCATCTTCCAACTTTGCGGAGTTAAATATGTTTTTTGCACAAACTTCGTCGCTTATAGATTTCGTAGCCGAATTTCTCAACAAAATGAGAGAGCTGTTTGGAGCGCCACGAATAATCTGTTTCAAATTCATTCTGATCATCTCTCCATTTTGTGACGCAGTTTCTGAGCTATTGAGTTCTACAGTCGATTTCTGTATTTTTGGTACAAACATTGCTGAAGATGACGGAAAAGTTGAGGCGACTTTTTGTTTATTTTTGCTATTAGTGGTACTTTCATTTTGGATGCTTTGCGCCATAGCAATAGCATATGCTTCTAATAACTTTGTTTCTTCTGCAAAATTTGCAATATTCTCAGAAGAAATTGTGATGTTACTTTTGACATTTGTTGTCTCTTTCGTCAATTTTAAAGAACTCGTTTTGGCTGCAGAAATCGTCAGCTGTGCTACTTTTTTTTCTACTGCTTGTTTATAAACTGGTGTCATAACTTGTGCACAATAACCAAACACGTAATGAAGGCTTTCATGCATACATTTCTCAAAAGATTTCTTATCCATGGAAAGATAGGTATTCCATGCATTTTTGATATTCGATGAACGTTTATTTTTCATTCCTATCTTTTTCTTTAGCTTCTTTTCTTTTTCTACCGAAGAAATTTGTCTATCGTAATGTGGATCGACAGAGATTATTTCAATATCAGGCTCATTAATGATCTCATAATAAGATAATCCATCGAGGCTGGTGAAGTATTTTCCTAAATATTCCACTGCTAAACCAGCCTGTGAACATAAACATATAAAGGACATCCTAAATAAGATTATTCACGTTCTTTCATGAAAAAATCGAATCTTTTTCCCTTTTTAAGGGGTAAAGCCACTCTAGAATTTTCAAAAAATCGTTTTTTTTCTTTTTTACTTAAATAATATTTTAAGATCTTAGAAATAAGGTACAAAAGATGGCAATAAAAAATTCCTAAGTGTCATTTTTGGAAGTTTAAAGCGTCGTACTTTTCGGTTCGTAGAAGATTTGTAGCTTTTGCAAAGGGGTCCTTTTGAAAATAATAAAGGAATTAGTTACGTGCGACTCGATCATCTCTAAAATCGGCCAACAGGATCAGGAAGAAAAGAACATTAATGAGGAAGGCCTATTATATGATCGTAGATTAAAGGTAAACATTTCTATCACTGATTGTTACCTAAAATTTTTAACGAATTTTCTCGAAATCACTTTTTTCAAGCTGGCCGGAAAGATAACTCCTACAAATCTTGACCGATTTACTTGAAATTTTAATTGTAACTTTAAAATTGCATTCTCCTAGAGAAAGACGTATGAATTTTTTTTTATGTTGCATACTTTTTTTATATAAACAATTTTTCATCTATTTTTTACCCTTTAAATGTAAAATTTACTTCAAATTCGTATATTTTTTCAAAAAACGGTATATTGCAATTTCGGTACGTCTTTCTTTAGCTTTTAGAATACAGATTTTTAAAAATTTTGGTTTTTTGTTCTAGGTTAAAAATTGTCGTTCTGGCCGCAGAGCATTGTAATGTCGATCTATGAGAAAACATTACAATTGCAACTGTAGCGCCGCCATTTTGTAACAAAATCACTATAAAAAAATTTTTTTTTACACTTCAATGTATGTACAACAAAGACATCGATATAAAATACATTTTTTTATTTCTTTCATTAATTTCTGAAAAAAATTCATAAGTTAGATTTATTTTTCGCGCTCTAGAATGGCTTTACCCCTTAAATAAAAAAATAATTCAAATATTTTATCATCTCATAATTTTACAGGTTTAAAAAAATATGCACATCCTTTTTTAAGAATTAAATTCTATTGAAATAAGTTTCTAATCAATATTATTTAACAATTACAGATTACAGTTATTAAAATTATAGTATAGAGAGTTGTCTATTTATTTTTTTATTTAATTAAGGCGTAAAATTTTATTTGAATCTAATAATTATTACTTTAGTATTTTTTTTACTAAACTATTTATGTAACTCTGATCTCAAAATATATTAAAGTAAAATGAAAAGTTTTAAGATAAGAAAAATTAAGTTATATGACATAATATTAAATTATAATGATTATAAGATATGAATGTGATAAAATAAAATATCGAAAATTGTAATCAACATAAATTTTTTAAAAGTTTATGACTTTAATAATTTTAATGATATTAAAACTAATAATTAATAAGTTCAACAAAGAATATATCATTTATGTATATATAAATCACAATAAATATAAAAAATATAAATAATGATATTATATTATGAAGAAAGAATTTTTACTTGAGGATGATAGACTGGTCTCTCATGCATTCCATGTACGGGCCATTCTTTCCACTCTGTCTCGTCTCTTTTAGTAGGTGCTTGATAAGTAGCACCTACAGTATACATCTTTCGAGTAATAGATCTGGTGTTCATATATGGCATTGCAGATGATTTTATATTTTTCTCAAATTCATAATCCGAATAAAACTCTTTCTTGTTGTTTTGCAATAGTTGTTTGCTAGGTCGAGAAAAATTCTTATCAATATTTCTCTTTGACATTCGCATAGGATTTCGTCTTACTTCTATTGTTTTGAGACTGAAAAAATGAGTATAAAAATATTATAAAATAAGAATAAAATTAAAATGAATTATTCATATTTATTAGATTAAATTATCTTTTTTTTATTCCATGTACATATGCAATGAATTTTCGTCGTAAATTATAAAGTTACTTTTTATAAAGTAAAGCGGGGAGCATAAACTCTCGCATAACGCATAATACACAAGGCATAAAAAATTCAATCAGAGTTTTTTATTTCATGGAAATAGAGAAAACAAAGGATTTTGATTGGTACATTTTCTTATGCTACGCGTTATGTAAGAACCTTCCCGTACTTCCTGTCCAAGTTCCTGTTTTTTAATAAGTTTTTATTAAAGATAATCTATTCTTAATTAAATGATAATTATATTTATCACATATATATATATAACCATTCAAATCTGAATTATGAAATGTATTTAAATTAAGTGATAATTTCAATGACTTTTAATGTCACACAGAATATGTATGTAGCATAAAAATAAATGAACGTTATAGTACCATTTTATAACTATTTTTTAAGAATTCTTTTTTTTTACTGTTATAAAAAAAAAGAATTCCTAAAAATGATTATAAAATAATACTATAATAACAGCCATAAATTTGAAATTTATTATTTTTTTTAATTGAATATTCTTTATAAATTTCTTCAAACGTTATATAAACAATTTTATTACCATTTATTAATAAATTTATATGAGCATGTTATATGAGCAAAAAACACTTGTTTACTGTTGCCATAATTTAAAATTATGGCAGAAATTATTTGTAACAAGAAATTTAAAAAATTTTTAAATTATATAAGTATAATTTTCATCTAATTTATATCTACAATTTAATTAAAAAATTGATTTTTGCAAAAATGGCAGAGGTTTGCAAAAAATTGTGATCTTTTTTACTTATTTTTTTGTTTTTCTTATATGAAAAATCAAAAAATTGGAATCTTTATTTGATTGTAGATCAAACGAGAACTACATATACGTATATAAAATGAAGGATCTTTTTGAATATTTCATTTTTCAGATAATGTCTGCATGTTAAATCATAGCAACAATAAATAGGTTTTTTTTACATGTTCATATAAATTTATTAATAAATACCAAGAAAATCATTAATAATATTTTAAAAGATTTGTAAGGAACATTCAAATATAAAAAATGTAACAAATTTCAAATTTACACCTAAAAAAAGAAATTCTTATTTATTATAGTTAGAAAATAGTAAAAGTAAGAATATCCTTTTAATATATAATATTATTATTACTATTGATATTATGTTTTATTATAGTAATAATTACGTATTTTCAAAAAATTTTCTTCATAAATTTTAAGAATGTTTAAACGTGACTTATTTATATACTTTCTATACAACTTGAATATTGTATACGTATGTATAACAACATACTTAACACCTTCAATCTTTAGTTTTAAACATTTTATTTAATTTTTTTAATATTTCGTTAATAATTAATAAAAGAAACTATCCAAATATATATATTAATTAATAAATTATAAGATAATAAAATTAGTAAGAAATACTTAACATATAAATGTAAATTGTTATAATTGCATAAGATTTAGATATTATATGTCAAAAATAGTAATAATATCTATATACGCTTTTAATATTTTGTGTGCGTGCGTGTGTGTAAAATTAATGTTTTTGTAGATGCATCTAAATCTTATGTAATTATGAAAATCAAAATTTATGCATGAAATATTTCTTAATATCATTACTTTACAAATTATTAATTATAATATTATTCTAACACTTTCTTTACATCAATAATTATAAAGAAGATATCAGAAAATGTAAATAACACTTAGAAAAAGGAAAGATGAAAAAATATCAAGATTTTTAAAATTTAACAAATTAATTTTTTAACAATATACATTTATTGCAATAATAATAAAACATCCATTGATTTTTATCAAAATTAAGAAATTATATATATGTATATTTTTTATATATAGAGATATGTATATTCTTTTATGTTACAGTCTATGTGACATTAAAAAAGTTATTGAAATTATAACTTTTCTGAATTAGCTCTATTCTAAATACATTTCATAACACAGATTTGTAAAAAAGAATAAAAAAATTTGTATAGTCTGTTATATATGTATATATATATATATAAATGTTAAAACTATAATATTGTTATTATAAATATTTATATTTTGGGGAACACATATAAACTGCATACACATGCATACCCAACACATGGCGCTCACGAATATACATACAAGTTAACATTTACATTATACATATATAATTATTATATATATAATATTGCTCACGTTTTATTTCTGACAACTCGTGAAATTCCTTTTTTAACATCAGCACTACCAGAAATCAAGCTATTGTCATTATTACTATTTGTTTCTATTAATTCTCTGTAATCGCTGTCCTCTATGTCTGATTTCGTTTTTTGCCGTATCACGATCGTATCCGGTGGCAGTTTTCGTAGAATGTCCATATTTTCATAATCCAATACGTTGTTTCGTAAATTTGAATTCCCGCGTCCTGTCATTTCTCCAAACTGCCGGTGTAGAACCATCTTGGAGTCATTGTCGCTTAACTCGATTATACGACGGTTAACATTGTCAGTCCTGTTACGATCACTTGACTGAATTTGTTCCATCAAGAACATTTTTGTATTTCCATCAAATATTTTCTCCCGGTCCATTAATGTTGATTTTTTAATCAAATCGAAACAGGAAACATATCTCTTGGAGACATCTTTATTTTAATCTTTCTCGATCGATGAATCCATGGTACATCATGATGAAAGAAGAGTAGAAGACAGCTAGAAAAATATTAGCGAAGCGATGTGCAGTTGAAACAAGTGTGGTTCTAAAATGACTGCCAGTACTGAAAACGCTGAAAACCTATAGTGTTCGTGACATAAACTATAGATTTTCAGTCTGGCAGTCAATTTTGGAACACAGCCCAAAATTTATGGCCCGTTTTCGACCTTACCAAATTTGCTTCAATGAATTAGATTAATGACGTTCCATTCTCTCCTATTAGTAGAGCATGCAAAGTCCACCAATAGCAAAATACTTTCTAATCAAGATTAGTGCACAAAGCATAAGGCCTATCGCACATGAAATGCATAACTGTGCATAAGCATAACATAAGGCCGCTGGATCAATGAGCATCTTATGTTAATCAATATGGCGTCTTTATGCTAGATGCTCATTGGTCCAGCGGCCTTATGTTATGCTTATGCACTTATGCATTTCATGTGCGATAGGCCTAAAGCGGGGAGCACAGACTTTTGCATAACGCATAAAGCATGTGCATAAGGAATTTCATTGGCCCATTTTCTTATGCATGAGTCAATGGACCAATCAAATTCTTTATATATATGTATTATGCGTTATGCAAAAGTCTGTGCTCCCCGCTTTATACTGGCCGTAAACTGTTAACTTATGCCGTAATCTGTAAAAATTGACCAATCACAGTCGAATGAGAGGGGAATAATCGATTATAATTGGTCAATTTTTACAGATTACAGCATAAGTTAACAGATTACGGCCAGTATAATCCAACCCTAACTTATGCCGTAATTAGAGGCCTAGAAAACAGAGATGCGACATTGCGTCGGTTGGGTTAGGTAACCACCGCCATTTGAATTCAATATAAGTGCTCTTGACCAATTAACCAATAAGCTGATGACAGTTGATGCGAAAGGTAGAAAGATTAGATTAGGTTAGGTTAAGTCCGATATTAAATATTCACACAAATAAGAATACTTACACCATAATAATAGTTTTTTATTGCACTTCGACACTGTATTGTCTAAATTTTTCTCTATATATATATGTACATACGTTATAAAACTATATCTATTAGATGCAATAGTGAATTAAAATGGCTCTCTGATCACGTGTTTTAAACAGCCAATCAAGCCATACCCTTCAATGACGCATCTCTGTTTTCTAGGTCTCTAGACGTGTCCAAATTAATTGTAAGGGGTATGAACATATATAAGATCTAAACAACGATCCTATCGTATAATCTATCTATATAAATCTATATAATCCTAATTTGTATTTTTTTTATCTACACTAAGAAAAAAATTTGTGGTGTTAAATTTTAATAAATATTTCTTTGAAGTGTCCTAATGGAATATTTACTTATGGTAAATAAATATTTAGATAAATGAAAAAAATGATAGTTGATTCAAACTAATGGCTGCGTTCAGTAGAAAAAGCAGCTTTGCAACTGTTGTAAAATTCTTAAATATGATTGGCTTATACATTTAGATCTAATGTGGAAATAAGGGCAAGACCAATTATATTAAAGAATTTTACAACAGTTGCAAAGCTGCTTTTTCTGCTGAACGCAGCCAATGATTCTTAGATCTAATAAATACGTCTTTACATTTATTAAATATTTCGCTAGAACTATTCAAAGAAATATTTATTAAAATTTAGTAAATTTTTTCATAGTGTATAAAAGTACCAAATAAATAGTATTGTTTAATATTGAATATGCATACATATTTTTATTTTTCTCATTAGAACTTCTATATAATTCCTTCTCAGATTTCTAATTATTGTTTTATTTTGTTAATCTTATTGCGGTAATGGGTTACAATTAATTTGTTAACAACGAATTTTTATATTTTGTTTCGATCATTTATTTGCGATTGGCCGCTAAGTCGATGTTACACGATACTGAGCATGCGCATAGCTGTAGCCAATAAAATTTAGGCACAATCGGCCCCCGCATTTCAGGACAACCCCCCTCGCCAATCTTCGGAGCTAATGCTCTGTCCCTATATTTCTATGTCAGAGAGAAACCTGAGAGAGGACATAACGACCTAAAACCTGTAACCACAAAATACTGCCGCGCACTACTGCCCACTGCAAAAGTGGATGTGAGCTACATGCCAGATCCACTATTCTGAGGATAACGCATATACTTTTCAAGACTGATGGTAAGTAGATATTCGCGGTTCGTATAATCGTATTCGCGCTACATAAAATGTGGATCAGAATAAATATTCCTCCCTGCAACTACATATATGTATGCTTACTTCCATGCGCGTGATGTTTATTATTAAGCTTAAAAGTATTAACATTAAAGAT